ACGCCGGCACCCAAATACACCCGAGAGGACGATGGCAGCATCTGAATTTTCCAGTCGCACCGGCTCACCGGGGAGCCCCAGCCCGCGGGGCGGCCACCACTGCCCTGCGCTTCTGAGGCGGGGAGAGGGCAAGTGAGGCCGAGCGGCTCCGGCCAAGCCCGGCGGGCCGGTATCCCGTGCTGCCGGCGCTTGGCACGGCCGGCCCGGGGAAGAAAAGGGAAAAGGGGTGCGGGGCGTACGGGGGTAGAGAGCGTCAGGCGCGGGCGTGCGGCCTCTCCCGCGGGGACACCCACCGTTACCCGGGGAGTCCCGCCCTCCGCGGCACGGGGCGGGAAGAGTGGGGAGGGGGGTGGGGAGGGAGAAGGAGAGAGAAGCGGAGGGAGAGTGCGGCGCGCTCCCGCGGTTCCCTCGCGCGGTCCCGCGCTCACCCAGGCGCGCCTCCCGCGGCGGGTTCTCCATCAGCTTCTTCAGCACCAGCGGGAAGGCGCCCGCCAGGCCCCGCTGCTCCTGCTGCGCGGCACCCCCCGCGCTGCCCCCGGCTGCAGTGGGCTCCGGTCCTGCCGCCGCCGCCTCCTGGTGCGCGGCGCGGCCGGGCATGCTCCCCGCGAGCCGGCGGGCGGGCGGGCGCGCGCGCTGTCAACGGTCGCCGGCGGGCCGCGGCGGGAGGCTGCGACAGCTCCCCGGGACCTCAGCGGCCGGCAGACGGGCTCGGATCGCGGACGGCGCGCGGGAAGGGCGCTACGGCGCATGCGCGGACGGCTGACGCCTGGCGCGTCCTGCAGTATTAATGAGCGCCGAGCCGCCCCCCCCCGCTCCTCCCACCTCCGATTGGCCCGCGCCGCCAGGGGGGCGGAGCACCGCGCGGAGGCCCCGCCCTCCCGGCCGGCGCGGGCACGCGCCCCCCGCCCGCCGGGAAACGTGCAGGGGCAGGCACCGGCGGCTCGTTTGCATGCCGTGCCCCGCCCCCCCGCCTCCTCCGGGAGCTGCGTCACCGGCAGCTGCTCCCTGCGCCTGCGCCCGCGGCGCTGCACACACGGAGCGCCCCTGCACGGTCAGGCGACCGTTAGCGCTGAGGGGACCGTGCGGGGGGCCCGCGCTGCCGCTGCCAGCGCTCCATCCGGCCCCTCAGTACCCGCCTTTGTCCCCACATCACCTTCCCATGTGACACAGAGGTAATCTCCCTCTGTCCTACGTGATGCCCGCGGCGGCGTGCCCTGTATAGCGTAAGCGGGGAGAAGGGATTCACTGCGGCTGCTGGCATGGCCTGGCTGCTGGGGGTGGCGAGGGGGACAGACTGTCCAAGTTTTAATGATCACAGGCAACCCTTGTGATTCTCCAGGCAGACACCCCTGTTCCAGCAGCAGGGACGCTGTGCTGGGATTTAAGGTTCTGAACATACAAAGGGAGCAAGTGTTGCCAAATCCATCCCGAAAGAGCACAGGCTGGGGAGCTTCTCCTGCAGAACAAATAAGCTGGATGGAGTGACAGAAGCTATAGCCACAGGCTTCTCCTGTCAGCAGCTGCTGCCTCTTGACACAGAAAGGCCGGCCCCAGCAAACCCACTACGTCTAGAACTATGAGCAGCGAAAGGAGAGGAAACAGTGTGCAACCTCCCTGGCATGGTCTCATCTGTACCCAACTGAGCCATAGGTGCCAGGGTGGGGATGTCTTCCTGAGTGCCAGCAGAAAAGGGTCCTCCTCTTCCTCCCAGGTAGACACTCAGGCATCTGCTTGGTTCTGTTGCCCCTCCACAAATCTCAGGCATTTCATTCTGGTGGCAAGGCACAGGTTGACCTGACTCTTGCCAATAAACCCTGATGGTCTTTGTGACACAAAATTGGGTCTGGAATCCTCCCCATGCACCCCAGGAAAAGGAACGTATTGGAACGCACATGGGGTAGGGTGCTTTCCCCTGTTGCCTCACTGCAATGAGAACCAGGGGATGTCTTCATGCAACCTGGGCAGACAGAGTTGTCCTACCTGCCAGCTACTTCTCTTGCTTCCTCCTTCACCAGTGAAACTCCTGGTGCAACTCCTGTGCATGTGCAGCCTGACAGGGAGCTTGGGAAAAGGCCATCTTGTGAATACAGGCTTGGAACAGGGCAGGTTAATGAATCATATGTCAAAGCTGATAAATGCAGCTGCCAGAAGCAGGCAAAATAGCTCATGCTCCACTGCCCAGCGTGCTCCAGGGCTGCTGCTTGCCCTCCACAGACTCCCTCCGCCTTGCCAAGCTCAGCTGGCGGAAGAAAAAAGCACATGCGTGAAAGGGAGATGCCACTTCACACGGAGCAATGAAACACAGATGTCAGACCACACATGAGAGGTGGAACACGCAGCTCGCAGCAACGATTTTCCCTGGGAAACAGCTAGTGGTAGGTGGTAGATAGAGAACACAACCAACTGAGGTCATGAAGGAGCAGTTTCTAGGAACAGGGAGAGGGGATGTAGCCAAAGCAGAGCAGGCTTCAGTTATGGCTTTCATGGTTGCTTTGTTCCATTATTGTTGACGCTGGTGGCCCCTTGGGATGATGCTGTGTACAGTGCTCCTTTAAGGAACAGGCTCTGCATGTATCCACCGCCCCACAGGACTCAATGGAAACTGCTTTGCTGGGTAACGTCCATATGAATGGAGGTTATTAAAACCACTCAGCAGCCTCTACTTCAAGGCTTTTCCCTTTAGATCAACCACATTCTTCCTCCAGCCCGTTTGCACCCACACTCCACCCTGCTAAGGTTTGTTCTGCAACACCACTGGGTTGTGACTTTGCCTGGAGAGAGATTTTAGCCTGTACAGTGTTAGATGCTTGGCGTGAATGCTGGGGAGCATTCCTGTGGGTTCCCTCTCACATCACCCTGCTTGGGCACCAGCTCTGCCCTGCCAGCGAGGAGGGAGGCTACTCTGAGAGCTTTTCTTTGCTGCCTCTGGGGATTAGGGGCTCAAACCACTGCCAGCAGAAAGCGGGCACTGCACCATCAGCTCTACCTTGTTGGTTAAGCTGAAATCTGCCTGGATTTTTACAACTTCTCTTTTGCTCTGCAGCTCAGAAGGAAGAGAGGAAGACAATGAGATGTAAGGAGAGGAATGCAGCCGTTACTGCTGGGAGCCTTGTCAGGGCTAGATGATGCAGAACAGCCCAGCTCTAATGCAGCAGGGAGGCGAGAAGCAGCCCAGCACTAGGCATGGGGGGAGGGACACACACACACACCCCAGCCTCTCTGGGAGGTTTGAATTGCAGAACACATTTCAGACAGAGGCCTGAGACCCAGCAAATCCAGAAGAGTAGTGCATAGGTCTGGAGACCCAGAAGGGGTGAACTCAGCTCTGTGGGAAGAGGGCCATGACAGGAACGCTGGCCTGGGGAAGGAGGCAGCATAGCAGGGACAATGGTAAAGATTACGGGAGGTGATGCTGAGAGGCAGGGTGGTCCTGGGGCTAAGGAAGAAAGTGGCACAAACCAGTACCCTCAGCAGCCAAATAAGCCACAGTGGGTTAAGGCTAAATTATTGCCTCTGCAAATCACTGATCTCCCCTCTAAACCCCCGCTCCAGTTCTTGCCAAATACATCTTGCCAGCACTCCTCCCTTGGATTAATTCAATCCACTTGGCTGTGGAGCCCAGGGATCCCAGGGAGGCAGCCAAACTTCAGCTTAGCCACAGTAAGGCTCTGTACCACATGAGCCTCCCTTGGCTGTTACTGCCTCCTGCCAGGCAGGTCCACCTTCTCCCTGGGTATCAGTCAGCTCAGAAAACATGCCCTGTTCCCCCCATGCAGCTTCATACTGTGTGATGTTTAAACACACCCGTCATTGGGCAAAGCCTCAGCAAAGAAGAGAGCCAGCTCACAGGTGGCAGCAGCAGAGCGATGTGACAAAAGGAGCCCTTAGGGGGTATGGTAGCGACCCTTGCCCGCCTTCTCCTTCCCACAGGGAGCTGTGCAGGTGCCATAGGGTTCACTATATGCAGCTGCCTTTCCTGCCACAGCAGCAGCCTTTTCTCCCATTGACCCCAGGACATGAGCAGAGTCCCTCTCCACATGGTGTATCTGGCTCTTCTGCTCCTGGCTCATGCTGCCCCTCAAGACGACAGAGCTCTCTGCATGCCCTGGTTGCAACTCCCTATGGAAGAGTGAGGTCCAAGCATGTTTGTTTCTGTGAGTTCAACTCATTCATGCCTAGACATGAGCTTGTTGAACCAAGCTGTTCCCATACACCTCCCTGGCACTCAGCAGCAAACGTTAAAACACAACAAACAAAAAGCAGCTTGCCAAGGGCTTGTGGCATCTTATCCAAAACCAGACTTGTGTGATGGGCACTTGGAGCACACCCAGCAATGGAGAAGTGGTCAGTTCAACAAGGGTGAAATGTTCAGCACAGCAGAAGCCCACACTAACTAACCTCATGGCTCCTTTCCATTTGTTTTCTAGGATGCTGCATGGAAAGCAGGACAGCCCCGGAGTACAGAAGTGCTCTTGCAAAGAAAACACCACATTTGCTATGTTCCCTACTCCAGCTTCTCACTGATAAACAACTGCAGCATCAAACACAAAGTTTGCACAGAGTCTGTAGGCTGGGCTCCCTGGACAGTCTGCGTCTGGGAAGAGGCAATGTCTGGAGGCTCAGCAGTTATTAACCATGGGACAACCCGAATGGCAAGCTTGGAAGTCACTCCTATTGTGGGCATGGAGATTTGTGCCCAAGCTGCCTCTGTGCACAGAGCTTTGAGTGTTTCCAAGAAGTAGCTGAACCTGGAGATTAAAGGGATCAGGAGCTCAGCACTCTTGATTGATTTTCTAATCAATCCATTGCTGCTGTTTTTACTCCTAGCTGCACAACACGCTCCGAGCCAGAATCCCATGTCTGACTTGGACACTTGGGAGAAACACACCCTTGAAGGGCTTGCAGCAGACAAGATCATCTAACCCTTTCTCCCTTTGCAACTTAAGGAGGGGAAAGAGGAATCAAACCAGAAACCCAGCAATGCATTCCCTCAACCCTACCTGTCATCTTGTTGGTCCAGGGTAAGGAGTACTCCAGCAGGGACTTCAGGACTTCCGGGAAGTCCAGGGCAGCAGGGCCCCCGGTGCTGTTGCAGCTTGACATGTCCTGTGCTGAATCTGTGCCAGCACTGCTGAGGCAGGGCCAGACACCTGGCTGCCAGCCCTGAGTGTGGCAAGGAGGGCTGGGGGGCACCGGGAGCAGGCTTCCCAGACTGCTCCGGCTGAGAGCAAGTGAGGAGGAAAGGAAGCAGCAGTGTGCCCAGCTGTCTCCACCTTCCCCTCTCCCAGGCTGAAGTGGCCAATTGTGGAAATGGCTCCAGGCTCGCAGGGCTGGGCCGGGCTGCTGGCCAGCTGGTTTTACTGGGCCTCTCCCAGCCAATCCGGCAGCGAAGAACTGGGCCAGTTATCTAACTTTGCGAAGGCAGCACCCTTTTCCTTCCTAAGGTGTTATAACAAATGTACACGATGGGGTGGGGGAAGGAAGCAAGCAAGCAGTGTCAGGAGTACACACATCAGCTGCAAACACAACAGCAAAAGGATCCTCAGCATGGCTCTTGGAAAGCTCTGAGCTGTGCAGGCTGCCCCTGTGGAGATGCATTCGCTGTCTGCATCTGGCTGCTAACTTCATCTGAGATGCAGATAGTGACAGTATTTGTACATCATGCAACAGTTAGTGTGTCCTTCCTAAGCCAACATTGCTAACAGCATAAGGCATTTTTCTCATCAAGCGTGGATTGTCTGCAGAATGCAGGATTTCTTTCTGTAAGGGGCAGAGTTTTCATCAGAAAGCCAACAGCCTCCTCTCAGAGCAGTGATGTAAGGCAAGATAGTTCATGCACCCTGCAAATACTCTTAACACCTGGTTAAGTAAGATCTTGAGCATGCAAAGCTCCTCCTCTCCCATTATAATGTCACTTTTAGTATGGAGGGAGGGACTGGAAACAGGAGAATAAAGGAATAAAGGCCTGCTCTTCTTTATCTTCTTTATGGGAAGAAGCATCTTACACATGGGGCGGGTCCATTTTGCCAGGCTCAGCCTTACAGCACCAGTGTGAGTCAATAGCAACCAGGTACTCCTACATTGCTCTGTGAGCCCCAGCTATGGGGGCAGCCCAGCAAAACCTTGCACGGCTCTAAGCATGGAAGTGGCCTGAGCAAAGTCATTAGGAATTTTCTTGTGCTTGAAGTGAAGTATTTAACTGGCCCAGCATTTGAGGTTTTAACAAGTGATAGGGTTTTGCTCACTCGGGAATGCATTTGATTCAATCCAATAGAAAACAAAGAATTACCTCGCCAGGTTGGGTGTTGGGCATTTCAGATTAGCTGGGGTAGTTTCATGATCTCGATCCCAATCTAATCAGGCTCGGAAATCACACAGTAGATGCTTTGGCAGAATTCTTAATTGTAATAGAACTATACTACAAAGTCTTGGGATTTTCCTTGTTGTTTGCTCCTCCCTGTTCCCCAGGGAGAACACAAGAATACAGCCAGTGATAACCATCAGTGGTGAGGCCATTCAAAGAGAATAGGCCCCTACTAACTCTAGGGGTTCTCCAGCCACCCAAAGCTGGAGCCAGCAGACAGCCCCTGCAGGCGGTCAGTGCATCCTGGCTGCTGGCAGCAAGAGAAATCATTGCATGTCTCCCTCCTGGAAGAACTGCCTGCAGCCAGGAGGTCCGTGTCCTTTCCTGGAATCTTCTGGTCCATGGCTGGTATTACTAACATTTGGGACAGCTACCATCATATATGCCTAGGTAAAGTGATTGGGAATGTGCTAGCTGCCCAACGCCAGGTGCAGCTGGACCTCCTGGTTTTGCCCCAGGCTCAAACTTCTCCTGAAAGCTGGAAAAACATATGCCTACATGTCTGGAGGAACCCAAGGGCTTCACAGCAGCTGCTGCAGCCATTGACTGGCACTTATGACTTCAGAAGATTAAGTTCACTGAGTGGAAATTTACAGAATCATGGAATGTGTTAGAAGGGGCCTTACAGATCACCCAGTCACTTAGCATTCTGGAGTATTAGCCTGTGCATCAATCCAAGTTGCCATCTTTCCCTCAGCCTCAGGAGTGCTCCCTCAACTCCTTCACAGAGCCACACCTGAAGTTTCTGGAGCTGCCTTTGCACTACCTCCCCTCCTACTGGTGTCTTGGCAGGGTCCTGATGGACCCTCAGACCCAAAACAGACAGTGGCACACCTGGGTGCCTCCTGGGTCAGAACTCCTGCAGGTTGTTGCTGTGGATCTTGTACTCGGTGGTGGCACTTGGCTGCACACCGGCTTCTGAGACCAGCATTACAGAAGGGAACTTCTGTTGCTTCTGAAAGCACAGCCAGCCTGTGGGGAACCCACCAGCAGCAGTGACACTTGACCAAAGAAAGCCATTACTGGTTACTGTTACTAATTGCTCTTAGCTTCCTCCAATGCGATGAAAGCTTGGCTTGATTATCTAATGGAAAGAAAATAAAACCCGTTTTTTGTCTGATTTGCTAAGGACACAAAGCTTACACAACAGTATTATCCCTCCTTCTCTGCCTCTTTGCAGACATCCGTCACTGGTTTTTGTTCTTGTACTAGGTCTGAGGACAAATGCACACTCCACTGACAGCTTCCAGGTTTAACTCTTTGTTTGTGTAGTGCATTTGGTTTGATAGGGATTTTTTTCACCTGTGCGGGGCCCAGCAGGCTGAGTTTCACCGGGGCCTTTCCCAAAGGATGCTTGCCCTGCATCCCACCACCTTGTCTTCTACAGGGTTGAGATGCTGCTTGCTGCTGGTGGCAACAGACATCTCCAGAGCAGCAAGAATACCCAGAATGGCAGCAGTAGGAGGCCCCACCTCTGAAGGAGCTGCCCCTTCCCAAGGCAGGGTACCACATGCATACACCTACGTATGCATCCATGTGTGCCGTTCTCCCTGCGTGGAGCGGCAGTGCTTGGATCCCGAGTGTGCGGTGCAGTTGGGTGGATGGAGGCACCTGCACCTCCCACCTGAGGTGAAAGGGTTTCTCAAAACTAATTCCCCAAAGGAGTGCCAAAAAGCTAATGAGCTTTGCTTCCCCCCCCAAGGCGTCTCCCCCTTCTCGAGAGTGCGCACGTGGCAGCTCTGCTGCTCTGCACGTGGCCTTCCCTTGTGAGGTGCCACTTTCTGCAGAACTAGGTGCTAGGCTGGGAGAAAAGTGAGACCGGCTCTTGGGATCCCCAGGAGTTGTGCTGCCCTCGGCAGGAAGGACACCGAGAGCTGCCCGTGGGCATTTCCCTGCTCTGGAAGCACTGGAAGCCTGGGCAGAGCTGGCTTTGGGAGATCTCTGAACAAGCCTTGGCAGGAAGCAGGGCCCAGGAGGTGCCAAGAGCAGCAATAAACCAGGGTGTTTAAAGCAGGATGGGGAAACCCAACGACAGTGATTGCTGGGCCTCTGCCAGGGCCTGTGGGAGACCGTTGGGTGGGACAGCAAGGAAGATACATGTTCCTTTAGCTGCTTCCTTCTCAGAACGAAGAAGCTGGCTGTAAGGACCTCGGCTGTCCCTCGGCGCTCCCTTCCCAGGCTCACTCACCTCCCCAGGGAATGACGTGGCTCCTGGCAGGAGCAGGGATCCTGCAGCAGCATAGTCCAAGAGGTCAGAGCTTGATGGATTGATCCAGGGATCAGCTGAGCCTGGGGAATACATGTAGGATGGAAGAAAACAACCTGGCCTCCAAGAAGCATGGGCAGTTTGGCTGCTGCTGACCCCCCAAAGCCGAGATATGAATGGTCTCGGAGAAGATCCAGCCTGCCAAGAGCTTCTTTTGGAACACTGCTTCTACTGAACCCCCAGCAGAGCAACATCTGATTGTGCTGCAGTTATACTGGAGCCATTTGGCTGAGGCTATCTCACTCCCATGGAAGCAGGACTCTCCCTCACTGCCTCTGAGCTTTGCTGAGGTATAGACGGGGAGCATGCCTTGGTATTCAATCAGAGAAGCTATGCAGCTCTTCACCCTTCCCAAACGTCTGCTGGAGAGCCCCAGCACTACCCAAAGCCCACAGCTGAGGCAGACAGAGGAAATCCACAGAGAACAAGGGAAATACACCAAAGAGCACCTCCAGCGTTGTTTTTCCCATTCCAAGCAAGCCAAATCTACTCCGGCATCTGGGTTTAGAGATTTCCATTCTAGCCCTGGGTAAGTGTCATTTTTGGAAGGATTAATCCAGCTGGTAATGAATAAATCTGTTTCCTGGGACTCTGCAGTTTCTGTGCCTCCCGAGGCTCTCAGGAGAAAGTAAGAATTTCTTGGGGTGCTGCCATCCATAAGCTAAACTGCAGAGAGGAGAACCCCTGAAAGGGGCAGCCTTGGGAGCTGCCAGCGCTAGGACAGTTACAGTGGGGAAGGAGTCACACAGAGCTGTCATCTCTCCTGATCTCTACTCCCTGCTGCATCTGGATCTGCTTTCAGGAAACACCAGAACCTGCTGCTGCTGCCTGGAGCGGGACCCACAGAGAAGCAGGAGGAGACAATCAAGCTGGGGAGGGAGGGAGGGAGGTTATTGGGAATGGATGGGCCCCATCCTGTCCCCTCCCATCCTGAGGAGAAAGGGTTGAGGCTGGATGACACATGGTGCAGAGCTCTGAGCAGTGCCCATGGCTTTCCAGGGAACCCAAAGTGCTCCACACTGTTACCTCCTCTGTACCCTCCACCCCAGCCAGTGGCCAGCACTGCTTCCCAGGTTACAGCTCCTGCAGGACAGGAGCTCTGCTGCTCCCTGTACACAAGACACAACACAACATGATGCTGTTGTTGGTTGCAACAGCTGCAGCAACACAATTAAAAGTGATGACAGCATTTGCACCACCTGCTGTCACTGCCCAGAAACGTTTCCCTATAATGTGGGCAGACAGACTGCTTGGGAATCTTATCTGCAGCTTGCATGCTTGGCAAGGCAAACCCTCTGCCAGGCTGCTGTGTGATGCCATTAAAGGTCTTTAGGATAAAGCCATCCTCCTATCTCTCATGCTTCTTTACCCTGCTCCTCCCAGTCCCCCACTGCACCTGGTTCCTTCCAGGGCGAGCTGGAGCTCATCCCCTTGACTTTGTATCTGCTGAAGTTCTGTGAGGATCTGAGTACTGAAATCACCCCTCCTTTCCCTGCCTCTCCAAAATACAAGTTTATTTTCTTCAATGAAAAACCGCCGGTGAGGAGGGGTTGACATCAAACCTGCAAGGAAAACACTGTGGTTTTTCTCTTCATGCTTTGTCTGCCTCTCAGTTTGCTCTCTATTGTACTGGAAAACTACCCTTGCTCTTGCCAGCATGACCTCAATCATCTTTGGA